GTTTGTACATCCTAGAGGTGCATCAAAACCAGAGTATGTCACTGGAGCTGGGGTCAGTGTTGAAGTTTGTGTATGCGTCATAAGCTGTTCATGAAACCATGCAAAGACTGGTGGCTTTATTTCTAGACACTTATTATCTGTCCTTATAGGTGAATGATGAGCTGTCTTGAATCTCTGTGCTCCAAGCACCTGCTCCTTGTGCAGAATTCAGTGCCCCTCACTCACTGCATAGTCCCTCCCATAGCTCTATAAGGGCAGCACCAGCCCAACCTCCTAACTACCTGTAGCTAGCTTTGGAGCTTTTAGTGTGAACTTTCCTCACATTTGTCTTCACAGCTCTTTGTGACTTTGTACCTTTACAAGTCACAGAAGGTATCTGTATTAGTCTGTAACTAAAAAATGTAAAAAACCAGCAATGATCCTGTAGCATTTTAGAGACCAGTGTTTCCCAAAGTGTGGTCCTTTGGAAAAAAAAAATACTGGTCCTCAGAAAAATTTGCATGCATGATTCTTGGGAAGGGGCCCGCCACCCACGGTGTGTCTGCTGGGCATGCTTCTGGGCAACGGGGCTAGATCTGGTGGGCGCTAGGACCCAGGGAGAAGGCCAGGCGCACCGACGCAGAATGGGAGCTGGCGCCGGCTGATAAAGCAGCTGGGATTGGGGCCAGGAGGGGGAACGGCCGTGCTGATGCTACCTGCAGGGACCACAGAGGTAGCGCAGGCTTCTTGCGGGCTCGGGGGGCAGTTCTACATCTGCACGCCAGGTCCCAGAAGTTCACGGGCTGCTTCCCACCCCCAACAGCCAGCGTGGTACCTGAAACGCAGGTCCATCGTGTGCTGGGGAGGAGATGGGGATCCAGGACTGCACCAGCTTCGGCTGCTCGGGCAGCACGTGCTGCGGTGGGGAGTGGAGGAGCAAGGCGCACACTGCCCCAGTGGTTGTGGCTTGCACAGTCCAGGACTCCCCCTCCTCCCGTGCAGGCATCAGGCATGCAACAGACCAGCGTTTCAGTTACTGTGCCACTGTTTGGGGAACAGAGGAGCAGCCCACACACTTCCTGGGCCTTGGCGTGCAATTGCAGGATCCCTAGGTATCAGTCCCTGTCCCCTCCCCTCTCACCCAGACCCCCACAAGCACTCTGCCCCAGCACCCATTGGTACTCTGCACCAGAACCCTGTCCCAGCACCCACAAGCACAGTTGGGGCCACATTATTGAAGTTTGTGGACTTGTGTTTTTGTATCTCACTTGTGCCCTGACTGACTTTTCTGTGGGTCAGTGACTCCTGACTCAAAACAGGTTACCCACCCGTCTCATAAATAAAGATAATGCTGACAACTTTTGTGTTTGACAATATATTATTTAAAAATGAAGCCTGGCCAACAAGCCCCCAATTGGGGCCAAGTTGTCATCTGGCCACTGCATCCTAACACTCTTGTACTTCCCACTCCGGCTCCAAATCTGAGCCTATCATACATTGGAACCCCCTGTCCTGAGCCTCTCACATCCCACAAACTCCTGCACATCCTCAGTCTTCTGCCACAACACTCCTACACCATCCACACACCACAAATCTGTGTCCTGAGCCCATCATACTCCTAACCTCCCTGTCCTGAGCCCCTTGCATCCCCCAGCCAAACTCCTTTACCCTCACATCCACAAGCCTGTGGCATGCTCAGCACCCACCTGGGCCCAGCACTCCCCAGCCTGGAGCCCCCTCTCTGAGCCAGCATCCCCTTCTCCACATCCTCCTGCATCCAGATTCCCTCCCAGAGATTCTACCGCTCACTCTTTTCTACACCTAAATCCCTCATTCACACCCCAGAGCTCCGCACCTCCTGTTTCAACACAGTTTCTATGCATTTATATTTTTGGGCCGCAAAAAAAGGTACTGAAAAAAACCAGGTTCCAACTATATAAAGTTTGGGAAACCCTGGGTCCAACAGTCTAGCCAGCTTTCTATCCATCTTACAGTCCATGTATCCAATCCATACTTCCTTAACTTGCTGGCAAGAATACTGTGGAAGATGGTATCAAAAGCTTTGCTAAAGTTGGCACTGGGGGCTTTGGGAGGACCAGAAACAATTTATTTGCATATTCATCATTTGCTTAATGAATATGAAAATAAATGTTACCGGTCCTCCAAAAGCTTGTGAATGGGTTTACTGGTCCCCAGTATCAAAAAGATTGGAGACCACTTTTAGAGACTAACCAAAATATAAAAGAGTATCATGAGCTTTCGTGGGCACAACCCACTTCTTCAGGTGACACATATTTGATGCTACAGGACCATTGTTGTTTTTTAAGGTTTTTTTGTACCTTTAATTACCAGTTGGATAATTTTTTCCAGTGGGATGCCCTCATCAGGGTTTTTCACCCTTCCTGTAGGGCAGCTCTCCCTAATAATGAGTCTCACTGCTCGGAGAAGGGCATATTAAAGAAAAGTGCATGGTTCACGGGAACTGACTCCTGCCTCTGTATAGAGGCAGCAAGGGAAGGTGTGTGTGCATGTAGTTGTTAGCTTTAACCGATAAGCCTCGGCTTATCCGTTGTTTAAATGATTATACGCTAACATCCCTAAACTGTACCCTTGCTCTCCTCCTGCTTCACACTGGGGCTGTGTCTAGACTGTATCCCTTTTTCGTAAAAGGGATGCAAATTAGACACATTGCAATTGCAAATGAAGCGGGGATTTAAATCCCCCGCTTCATTTGCATAAACATGCTTGCCGCTTTTTTCCGGCTCGGGGCTTTCCCGGAAAAAAGCGCCAGTCTAGACGGGGATCTTTCAGAAAATAAAGCCTTTTCCGAAAGATCCCTTATTCCTTTTTTTAAGATCCCTTATTCCTTATCCAAAAGATCCCTTATTTCTTTTTTTAAGAGGAATAAGGGATCTTTCGGAAAAGGCTTTATTTTCTGAAAGATCCCCGTCTAGACTGGCGCTTTTTTCCGGCAAAGCCCCGGGCCGGAAAAAAGCAGCAGCCATGTTTATGCAAATGAAGCGGGGGGGATTTAAATCCCCGCTTCATTTGCAATTGCGATGTGTCTAATTTGCATCCCTTTTACGGAAAAGGGATGCTGTCTAGACACAGCCTAAGAGTATAAGGGGCACGTCTTTTGGCTATCAGTCTTGTTGCAAACTGCCAGATGGTCCTTTGTGCACTTCCCACCCTGCTCTGACAACTTGCATTTTGACTGCTGAGCCCTACTGACAGATTGTTCCCTCAAAACTAATTTCCCAGCATGGAAAAGCTATTCTGTATGAGCTGTTCAAAATGCTACGGGCCTGAGCCTCATAGACTTTAAGGCCAGAAGACACCGTCATGATTAAGTTTAATCTTTTTCATGATTATTTTTAGTGAAAGTCAGACAAGTTGTAGGTAATAAAAACTCATGAAGAACACCGACTTTTCCATAACTTTCATTAAAAATAAGGGCAGGGGTTTTGATGATATTTGAAGCCTAGGCTGGGGTAAAGACAACCTGAGCCCTGCTGGTGAAGGGGAGGATCTAGCAACTACCATTGTGGGGGGAGCAGCCTCAACAGCTCTGAACTAGGGATTTCCTGCCGCCTGTGGCAACAGCCAGCTTTGGGGTCCTTCCACAGCAGCTCGAGGCTCTGGGGTGTGTCTCATTTTGTAGAGATAAGGAATGATCTTTTTTCCCTCCCTGGTAAAATGGTTTTAACGTGGATAACTGTTTTCTCAGCCACTTTGCCTACAGAGTTCTGTGGAATCATTTTGTTAGTTTTTAAGGATTAGAGGTAGGGAAGTTACTGTACATTGGGTAACTAAGACAGAAATGTATTCCTCTAATGATCAGGCAGTGCAACTGTTAGGACCATCAAGCTATGAAAAAATTGACTTACATTCATTTTCAGAATATGATCCACAAGTTGGTGATTTATTGTCAGTAGATACCTTTTACGAAAGTGTTCACAACGGCAAATAATTTCCTGGTTTTTTAAAATAGCATTTATGGGTGTCAACATAAATGCTTATCTGACTCCTAAAACAATGTTTTTCTCTTGTTTGATTATTTTAAACTAGCAAGATGTTCTGGTTTGATTATTAATACCAATCATTTTACTATCTGAATTTATTTATTAATAGCTAACTGCAGTACTGAATGGTGAATAGGGCCATATCTCTTTTGCTAAGTACAGAAGTACCTGCCTTGGAGTCCTGCCATGTGCACATCTAAAATCTAAGCATGAACTCTAGACTGGCTCCCTAAAGGAAGTAGGGAGCAATACAGAGAGCATGCTCTTTGTTTTATTAGTGTTTGTGGCAGGGAGAATTTATAGTGTTAAGTGCCTGCAAAGGGTGGAAATATGTGACTTAGGGTGTGTCTAGACTACAGGGTTTTGTTGACAAAACTGGACTTTTGTCGACAAAACTATACCTGCGTTTACACTACCGCCGAGTTCTGTTGACATAATGTTGACAGAACTCAGCAGTTTTGTCGACGGCTGTAAACCTCATTCTACGAGGAATAACGCCTTTTGTCGACAGAGTTCTGTCTACAGAAGGCATTATTGCATCTGCACTGTCCTTTGCATCTACACTGTCATGTCGACAAAGCGGCTTGCTTTGTCGACAGAACTGGATGTAGTCTAGACACTCTTTGTCGCCAGAAGCTTTGTCGACAGTATCTGTCGACAAAACTTCTGTTGACAAAAGCCTGTAGTCTAGATATACTCTTAGACTCCTTTCTCTGGATGCGTTATAATGGAAAGGATATAAAGCTTTATTCTGTAGATGGAATGAATATTACCACATCTCTGTTACAAAACATACTCTATAATGTGAAAGAGGAGACTTGGGATTGAATACTTAAATCGAAATTCCACCCTTAGTTAAAACCTGCTGAAGTCAGTGGGATGGCTTGAATGTAACTGAGAGTTAAATTTAGCATTTAGGCCAAGGGAAGTACAGCTTGCCTATATTTATTAAGTGGAGAAGTTTTCTTTTACATTTCCAATGTTGTAATTGTCTTTCAGTGGGAGGACAGAGGTCCAGTCTGTGCAGTATGGTAAAGAAAAAGCAAACAAAGACAGGGTATTTGCCAGGTAAGCCATTTACATTTGTTTGCATGGAATTTAATGATGTGGTAATTAATACTTTCAACTTAGGCATTTTAGAAGGTTGCTTTGTCATAATTTTGACACAGTGGTGCACTTCAGTAAGCTTTCTCCCAGTACCTGTATATTTGGATGGAGATGTTAAGATAAACTACTTTTCTCTATTTTTTTTAAATTAATGGACATGCAGGATTTATCTCTTGTGAGCTGCTCTTTTGGTGAAGTTTAATCTATGCTGTGGAGTTATAATTTGAATACTAAAGCATATCTTTTTATCTGAGGCAGGCAGGAAGACGTGGCAGGGAATCTCATAACAGGAAAAAAAGATACTTTGTCTTCATTTTTGTGTGTTTGCAAATAAAAGATTGCAAACTCTTCAGGATAGGGACTGACTTCTTGTCTGTAGTGTACTTAGCACAATGCAGGGAGGGGCTCAGTATAAATAATAAACCCTACTGTAAGGAGTTTCTTACCTTCAGTCATTCTTTTGGGTATTTATGTGTTTATTGGAATAGTTTAAAATTTTAATTTCCTATGAAATATTTGCATAAAATGTCAGACTCTTCTAATATGTGCTTCAGCACTATTTCCTGATACTATCATAATTTTGCTATGATTTCTCTCGCGAATGCCTTCAGAAATGATTAATTATAACATAATTGGCTGACTACAAAATGTTCAGCTGAAGTGCAATTCTAATAATTATTTTTCTGCTGGATTCCGTAATGACCACCATATTCTAGGCCATTGGTCTCCCATGTTTTTATGCCCATAATCACTTTCAGAATTTAAGGGCAACTCAAGATCTACCCCGCCACTTCCCCAAAGCCCTGCCCTGCCCACTCCATCCACATGAGGACTCACTTTTACTGGGCTGGGGCAGTGGGTTGTGGTTCAGGAGGAGGATTGGAGTGTAGAAGGGGGTATGATATGGATGCTGGCTCTAGAAGGAGGCTCCTGTCCTCAGTGGCTGCATACGAATAGAAATTAATAAGACTGGGATTTCTCAGCTTGTAAGAGACAATTAAGGGGGAATACGATAGAGGTCTATGAAATCATGACAAAAGTGGTGAAAGTAATTAAGGAAAAGTTAGTTATTTGTTCCCTTAAGACAAGAACTATCGGTCATCAAATGAAATTACCGGTAATAGGTGGCAGGTTTAAAACAAATAAAAAGAAGAACTTTTTCCACACAATGCAGTTAACCTGTGGAACTCCTTGCCAGAGGATGTTGTGAAGGCCAGGACTTTAACAGGGTTCAAAAAAGAGCCAGATAAATGGCTATTTAGACATGGTCAGGAATGGTGTCCTTCTGTTTGTCTCTGTCAGAAGCAAGGAATGGGCAACATGGGGTAGATCACTTGATGATTATCTGTTCTGTTCATTCCCTCTGGGGAACCTGGCAGTGGCCACTGTTTAAAATAGGATACTGGACTAGATGGACCTAGAATGGCCATTCTTTTGTTTTTATGTTCGTATTTCATCATGTGGAACCATATGGACCTGAGTCATGATGAATATGGAAACTAGGTCCTTAGATCCAAAGGATAAACATTTACCCCTCAAGACAAAAGAATAAGCAGATAGCATTGGTAGGCTGTTATCCTCTGTGTACATCAGACCCTGGAAAATTGTGGTTAGTGGTTAGAGAGTACAGTCAAGCCTTAAACTTGGCATTTTCATTCTGAATGTACAGCACAGTGCAACATAAGTTATGTCGAAGAGATGACTAATTACTACTGAATCCCCTTGCCAGGACCTCTAGATCTATGCCTAGAATTTAATGGGATCATTGTGAGTTAGGAGCATCCAGTGCAATTGGCATTCATGGAATTGTGTTGGGCAGGGAATCTCCTCACTACAGAGGTAGCTCCATGAGGCTCAGAGCAGTTGTTCAAAATTTTTGCAGCTAGCCTCTGATAAACTGTACTGATTGTGTAGACAACAATTTTCAGAAACTTAGAACTTTGCCAATTCTGAGTGGATTTTCACAGATCCTCAAAAGAGATCATCCTGATCCAGGAACCAATTTCAAGTACCTTCTCCGAAACTTTTGAGACTCTAGAGTTCTTTTAAAACACGGACATGAGAAAAATAATTAACATTCACAGAAATAACTATTTTTTGCTAATTTCATACTCTGAGATGACTGAAATGTTTTTGCTTGCAACTTCCTGCATAGATTAAAAAAATCAGCCTGGGGAAGAAAAAGGCATGGGAAATTTCAGTGTGAACAGTTAAAGAAAGGTATAATCAACCTCTATCGTTAACAGTGTTAGGTAGCCTTAACTATAGATGTCGCTATAAGCTCTGTTCATAATATTTCAGAATCTGAGTTGTCTTTTTAAAGGCCTAATAGAAAAAGATGCCAACTTGTTTTTAAAATGAATAAGAGTAATCAGTCAGTCAAATATTTAGTTCTTTAAATTAGTCTATTTAATTTGTTTACTAAACTAATATCTAAGTATTTTTATAAATGAGGCTAATAAATTTGTCCTAAAAAGGAATTGTTTTGTATTAACTTTGCTGCTGTAAGTTTTGATTAACTGAATAATTTGATTTCTCACTCATTTTATTGCGATCTTCATTACATATACCATTGTACCATGCTTATATTTTCCCATGGTTGCATTTTTTCCATGTTCTTTTTGGTATATAGAAACAGTAGTATGGCTTAAATATATTTTTCTTTAGGTTTTCCCTTTCTCTGTGTTTTGTTTTTGTTTCTTACTGGGCTCCTTATAAATGCACATCTTTACAGTGGGTTGTAATACTGCAATCTGTGTACTTAAATGCTTACCTCTATAGGAACATTTTGCTTTGTGTTCTAGTGGCTTTTTTGTCTATTAACATGTGATTTTTATTTTGAAGAATACCAATAGTGAATGAGTAAAACTGTGTACAAGACCATCTGTGCAGTTACTACTTTTTAGAAATTTCTGACCAGTTGAAAACTACACACCGTTCATATTTTGTTGTCATCTTATCAGATCAGCGGATCTCAGAAGCTAAGTGTGTTTCAGCAGATACTGTATTTGGCTCCAGGAAAACATAGATGCCTCAGAATGTTGGAGGAGTCGTACTCTTGAAATTTCAGTAGACAGCACCCTTCTCTTTGAGTCAATTCCATAACGAATGCCTCAGGGTGCTGTGGGCATTGTGGCTTGGGAAGCTATCTTTTTGATTAAATGTGAAGTCAGGAGTATGATTACTCCAACATTCTGTTGAGTTTCTATTCATAAGAATAGATTTGTTTAATTCAGGTGTCAACCTAAACTCCCTCCTGCAGTTTCAATTGACTGCAACTTTCTTCCTCATATCTATTCTAAGCTGTTTCAGGGCTGTTCTTAACAGATAAACATCTGGTGCTTGTATCCTAGATTTGACTTGCTTTTGGTGAATAAAGCAATCTATGTATTGATTGCATATTAATTTGTAAGGTGCACTGGGACTTCTCAGAATGAAAAGTTATACGAAATTTAAGATGTTTGTAAAATACACTACATATGTACAAAGGGCTGACAAACAATTCCTCTGAGACCTATATCTTTGCATCATTTACCTATTGTGCATCTAAATGCCAAACTATAATACTGAGTTTTCGTTCCTTCATATTAATATAGAGGCTAATTCTTGATCACATACTTTTGCTGGTGTTATGTGAATTTTGTTCCTATAACTTGCTCTTCTGAATTTTGAGCCTCACTAGACTTTTTTTTTGTTTGTTTTATATAGATCTGGTTTTTTTAAAATGTTGGCAGTTAACATTTCTGTTAATATTACAGTTGGTTCTGATAAAGCAGGCTTGTGTTGTTGTGTGTTATGAAAACAAGAATATTAGGAAAGATGCTATAGGATGATATAATAGGCTGCTTGCAGTGGAATATGTAGTATTTAATATCTAAGGTATTAATCAATTTGTAAGCACCTAGAGGATAAAGGTAATATGTGAAGCTGTGTTTTAGTCAGGGGTATCTTTAGTAAAAGCATGGACAGATCATGGGTAGTAAATAAAAATGTACAGCACATGATCTGACCTTTACTTCTACTATATGCCCTGGCTCCCTGCCTGTGCTGATCCTCTGCTGCTCTCAGAAATGGCCAGAAAGTCCTTGCTTGTGGCTTCCGGTGGGGACAGGGAGCCTCTGTGTGCTGCCTTCACCTGCAGATACCACCCACACAACTCCCATTAGCTAGAAATTGTGGTCATTGGGAGCTGTGAAGGTGGTGCCTGCAGGCAGAGACAGCGTGCAGAGCTGCCTGACTGTGCATCCACTGAGGCACTAAGGGAGAGAGATACCACTGCTTCCAGGGAGCCTCCTGAGGTAAGCACTGCCTAGAGGCTTCCTGCTCTAAACCCCAGCCATGAACCCCTTCCCAATCCCAAACTCAGGTGCTGATGACTCAGGGCTTCCTGAGTTCCTCAGGTGGCCCCCTTGGTCAGTTGTAATGGATGCTGCAGAAGTCACAGAATCGGTGATCCCTGTGACACACTCACAGCATTAGTAACACTAATGACTTGTGTAAGGGAATATAGAGTTGATTTATAAATTTGTAGATGGCATCATGCTGTAAGAGAGGTTGCTAGTACAGGATGGGATAAAACGACAGGAGTAGAAATCAAAACAACTATCACCAATTGGAGAATTGGTCTGAAAGCAGGAAGATGAAATTCAATAATGAAAAGCACAAAGGTACGACACTTAGGAAAAATCAAATGCACAACTACAAAATACGGAACAAGTAGCTGTGTGCTAGTACTGCAGAAAAGGAACTTGGGTTATAATGGATCGAATATTGAGGATCAAATATTGAGGATGAGTGAAAAATGTGGTGTGTCTGCAAAAAAGGCTGATATGATGTGATGAATTATAGAAGCATTGTATGTAAAACTTGGGAGGTAGTTGTCCTGCTGTCCTCAGCACTAGTGAGCGTCAGTTGGAATACTGTGCCCAATTCAGGATGCCACACTTTAGAAAGATATGGAC